GTGGTGGTGTGCAGAGTGTCATCCTTCCTTCCTGGTAAGTGGTGCCCCTACTCTGAATTGAAGCTGTGCACACAAAAAAGATTATCCTCAGTTACACCCAGTTTATACAAGGTGCAGTTTGAGCCTCAAATATCCAGGAGCAAGAGAGCTCATGAATACATAATGGATATGCTAGAGAAGCACATAAAAGACATGTCACAAAAGCATCCTTGTCCTTGCACAGTTCCAAGAATCTATCAGAACTATGGCTCTATGCCAGTTTTATTTCACTATTACTGCTTCACCCAGCAACAAAAGCTGGGAAATGTAGCTTTGTTTTCTGCTAGGGAACCTTCTCCTCACACTGAGGGAAGTACTGTTAGGCCAGTTTAAGCTTGCTGCTGCCATGAGGCTCAATTCCCAGGGTTGGCAACAAGACATGGATAAAGAGCCCGGCTTTTTCATCAGCGGTGGCCTACTTGAGATTGAGGGAAAGCAGCAAGTGGAATAAGTGGCAGGCTGTTCTGGTATCACCTGATTGCCAAGTCTAGAGGATTCTGGGCACTGGTAATATGGTAAGCCAAAAAATCTATTGTTCCATCCTCAGTGTTGCACCTGTAGTGGCACAGGAAGTCAGAAACCAGTTCCTAATGCACAGGACTCTTGGGGCCACTACACTGCACCTGGTAGTATCCTGTATACAGACCATCTTATCATACCGTAGATACCACTGCAGGACTACAGACTTGTCATGTAGCAAATGGACAATATAAGCAGCTGTCATAATAAACACATATGCATAGAATTTCTAGTACTTCTATACAGGAATAAACTCAGACTTCTTATATATTCATTTTAAACATGTATATACTGCTTCAAATCTGAACCAATTCTATTGCAGTGAACAATAAAAGATATAAGCAAGATACATATATAAAAGAAAGCATCTTAAATTTTTTAAAAACCACAGAATACCAATAAAAACTGTGGGTTTATTTCTTGAAATAAAGATGAAAAGCAGCAGAATGCTGGTCTGACCTTCATGGGCAGTGAATTTCACAGAGAAGAAGCCAGCAAATCTCTCTACTTCTTTTGTTACATTGTTTTCCCAGGCCCTTTGCTCTACTTAATGTAGGACCAATTCATACATTTATGTCAGATGGTCATTGACCATCCAGCAATAACATGCATGGCATGATGGGCTAGCTGCCATGAACCATTCTGCATCCATTAACCAAAACACAATGTCCCTATCATTCAGTGTCGACCTGTGTATAGTGCTTTTAAATGGCAATAGTTCACAGTAGTTCTTCATTGAGCAATTAAGCTAAGAGATCAAGGGATGTTCCTGAATGCAGATCTTGACCTTAGCACATCTGAGAAACTGAACATCATCGGAGGAAATCCTTGAACTAATAGAAGAAAAAGTCACTTTACAAAGCACATGTTCCATGTAGATTCCAGTTAGTCATATGGCCTTGCAGAAACCCTTCATGGACAATCATCACACTGAACTCTCTACTCCAGGTAAACTCCAATTTGGTCACAGGTCCCTACAGAATCAGTAGCAGCATCCCATCTGGCTGTATAACTGCTCACAAGATGCTATGTATGGAATGGGCTTCCATGGGAGGTGGTTGAGGCCCCATAGGTGAGGGTGTTCAAGGACAGGCTAGACATGCACATGGTGGGCATGTCATGAGCAGAGCTGGGGGTCAGACTAGATGGCCCGGGAGGCCCCTTCTGACTTGCTCTGTTTCTATGTTAAATGAAACAGAAATAAGCCACTGCCACAGGACACAGAATCACTGCAAATGTTTCTCACTCCACTACAAACAAAGCCATAGTTTCAACCATTATTTTTAGTACTGCATAAACCCATTAGTTCCAAACATGTGCCTTTAATAATGACAATATACCACCGTGTGTGCTGTAATACAATTGGGTTAAAATATTCATTACAGTAAGTATTAAGCAACCTAAATTTAATACATTGAATAAGATTGGCAATTAGGGCTAATTTGAATGAAATACTTAATATACTGTGATTAATGTGTTCTCTGCATTTTTATTCAGTTAAAGTTAATGGAAATTACTTATGCCGATAAATAATTCCATCGAAGTGCTCTCAAACGCACAGGCATAACAGGTGTAGCCCATGTTCTTGCCACTGCTGTTGTCCTGAGGATGTGCAGTTAATTTTCCATTAGTAATTTATGCTGCATCCTCTTATCTTTGTATTATTCATTTTCTGCTTAAACATCAAGCAAGCAGTCCCTTCAGGGAAGAGATCAAAGGCAGATACAAGTGAGGAAATATTTTTTCTTGTCCCGCCTTGCAGCACTCAGCAAGAGACCATGAAAGGGCATTTGCACTGAGTGACAGCAGCAAAGAGATTCCCCTCCCTTGCCAGACACAGGTGAATTCATTGGCACAGCCTAATTCAGAGCCTCCTCACTTGATGACCTTACTCCACCCAATACAAAGGGTTGTAGTTAGCTGGTCATTAGCCACAAAACTTGAGTGTTTACATGAAACAGAAGTCTTTGATGTCTAGCCACTTTGAAAGACAGAAATCTTAGGGGCAATTTCAGTAGTCGCATCCACTGAACTGATCTGGCACCTACATTATGGTCTTTCTGGTGCCAGATGAAGACATACAGAGCAGCTGCAAGTAGGTTGCATCGATTCATGCAGACTGTATACTGGGCTGGCTGAACTAATAGTCTCACTCTGTATAAGGCAGTTTTGCATATATGGCCTATGCTGTGATATAGTGATGCTATGATACAATTTTATACACACACACACAGCAGAGCTAAGCATTCTGCAATCAAAGGAAGCCATTTAGAAATGTATCCCTGCCATATGGCTCCACTGTAAAGATACACAGAAAATGTGTCACTGAAGTTAGCTAGTTGAATGAGTAGAGCAAAAGTAACCAAGGTGAACCCTGGGAAAAATATCTTCAGGTATTCATATGTATATCACCACATTCCATCGTTTTCAATCAAATGTCATGCTTTTGAGAAATACCACACAATTATTAGTGAAGTGGAATTTACAGGTGCAATCAATTCAATTTAAAATCTTCTCACATAAATTCTTTGTGACTTAGCTTTGCAAAATGGGTAGGATGTAAATACAGCCAGTTTGCTTAACATATGGTTATTGAAGCAAGCTGGTAACAATTCTGTTTGCTATAGATCTCTGCCTAGATGTATTTCCTACACTATAGAGCAACATGGTGTAGGAATAGTGCTCTATAGTGTAGGAAATACATCTAGGTAGAGATCTGTAGCAGACAGAATTGTTACCAACTTGCTTATAGCAAGTTACTACTCCATAGTGAAATAGGCAGAGCCCAGACAGTCTCATACAACATAAAGCTTTTACTTTATGCAGAAGCACAAAACTTAAATAATGTTGTAGCCTATTATTATCAGCCTGGCCATAATGCTGGGCTAACCACAGTTTCATTAACACTATATTCTTGATCCTACCCAATGCTAGCTCATGATTTAGTGTTACAAGAATGACCACAACCTTATAGATTCCTTCATCCTCTGCTTGGAGGGCCACGAGAAGAAATGCAGAAGTTTGTATTTCCATCTTTGATGAACCACAGTTTGTCACAGTTACAAACACAAATGACCTGTGGTTAAAATGGTTCATGGGTTATGAAGCTGGCTTATTAGGGTTTAGAGATGATGCTGATACATCCGGTCTCCTTGAGGCCATGCCAGAGGAGTAGAGGCCATGAGCACCACATGAGCCTTAGGTCTGAAGCCATTTGTCCTTATGATGCTTCTTGTGACATGTAAACACAGCTGACATATATATTTTGCAAGTAACAGAAAGTCTTCTGAGAGTCAGAGGAGAGGAAAATGGAAAGTGCCCTACCACTTTTGCCTAGAATTCCATTATACAATATTCCATTTTTATTTATTAGCTATGCTAGAAAAAGTTGAAGGCAGAGGAAGAAGGGGAAGGCCAAATATGAGATGGATCAATATCATAAAGGAAGCCACAGCCTTGAGTTTACAGGAGCTGTCAAGAGTAGGATATTTTGAAGGGCATTCATCCAGAGGACAACTTGATGGCATGTGAGAACACATTTCTTTATTTATTTCTATACTTCCCCATAGCTGAAGTCCTCTTACATGCTACAGAAAAAGAAAAGATACATAGAAGAACCTGGAAAATCTAAAGTTGTCAGGTGCAATTCCAAAGAACATTGTTGATAGGAGTATTGGGATACATCACAGAAAAAATAACAGCAGTAATAATAACCCAGATTCCCACTCTGGACCTTTTATACATTTTTCTCAGGTTCTGCAAGGTACATGAGCATACTGGTGACCTTCCACAGAACAAATTGACAAGAACAAATCTCACAATTATTAACCTTTCCACTTGTTTCCATAGTTTATTGTGACAAGACAATGCAATAAGCTTGAAGGTAATCAAAAAGCAATTTTGTAGTAGTGAGCTCAAAATGACAAACCTTCTCTTTTCTAAATAAATCACCATTATTCCCACATGGCTCATGCTTGACAAGTTTGTTTCCTTAGTAACAGAGTACATAAACAGGGGGCTAGGTGCATCAGCATTATCTCTTTAGCCACAGATGTGAAAAAGAAGACAACTGGTTAAAAGCACACACACGCACACACTCGCACACATGCATGCATGCACGCAAGCACAAAAGGAACTGTAATTGATGAATCTGTCAGCCTTTCAGGACAATAAGGTGCTTTTTAGTGAGACAAGTACAACAGCCGTTAGAATTCTGCTGGAGTGTTTAGCAGCATTCACATACTCTAAGGGCTTCTCCAAGATCACCGGCTAAACAGAGTTTAAAGCTCTCCGGTGTTTGCTCAATAGCTTAGCTAATGTTAAGGTCAGCTGTCTTATAAATTATTGAACAGATTAACAGTGTTGGGGCTTACAGTATGGCAGCACAAGGATATGCACGAGGCAGAAGGAAACCCAGGGCATGTCTCAGTCAGATTCTGTGGGAAAAGGCAAAATCACTGTTCACTCCATTTATCTTTAACCTTTGACTATATCACTGAAGGCTGGATTTGCCTTCCATCTCACAGCACAGATCCCTTCTCCTCAGTATGCAGTCATTGTGGCTGATGACGGTGCACTGTGCACAGCCAGACCAGACTCCTGTGCACTGTCGGACATGCAACTGTCTGCATAGCAGGAAAGCAACTGGATGGGGTGGCTTTGGGCTTAACGTTAGGCAGAAGGAGGAAGCTCTGTGCTGGGGATTAAGCCTCAGCTGTTGATGCTTAGGGTCTTGGTCCTAATAGCACATCAGTAATATGTCTCCTTATATTTGGATGTGCTGGCTGGAGAATAATGAGTTTTATAGCCCAAGACACTGAGCTAACACATGGATAATTAAGAGGTTAAGATAATATCAGCAATGGCAAGAATTCTAACTTTGATCCTGGATGGTCCCTGTAATTCAGGTTGCATATGGTGGCTTGGGCTTAGAAACAGAAATGTGAACTGCGCCTTACATAGGAAAAATTAGAATGCTTTGACGGAATGTCTATCTTATCTCAAAGGAAAACTCTTGAACTATGAAAAACATGCTTTTTCATAATCACAAAAGGGAAAACAGACTTAGGTATAGTTATAATTGCACAACACAATAACCCGTTGTGAGTGACAAGTCATAGAACCTTGACTGCTTCCTGCAAGGTTGCTTGTTTGTGAGCAACAAACCACAAATGCATGGCTTGTTGTAGGGGTTGTTGGCTCCACAGTGGGTTGCCATATCATCTTAACCTAAGATGGGGCAGGAACCTAAGGGCTAAATCAGAGCAGGAAGTGATAAACATGAAAACAAACTGGGTCGTAATCTCACTGCTGAAGAAAGTGTGTTTGTTTTACATGTATAAACATAATTAAGATCTGGAATCCCTATTTTTGCACAATACATTTCTGGAACAGAATTAGATCCTAGTTTTGTATGGAAATGTGGTACAGATCATAATGTTCACAGGGTCCAATGAAACCTTAAGATGTATTAGCCAAGACTGATTTCAAAAATGAATGTGTTAAAGACTAATTTACAAAAAGAGAGTTTTACTCCTGATTTCAATAGGACCCAAATCCTATGGACATGAAATATTCTCTTGGGAATGTTACTGCTTGAAGCCCTGGGAAACATTCTCTTAGATAAACAGCCAATTTTGTATCCTGCACTCCTAGTCTCCTCCCCACCCCACCTTCTGCAGCACCCGCTTTACCATTCCCTGAGGCTGTTCTTACAGTTTCAGAAACACAGTTGCTGTGATTCTTTCCACACTAACTGTGAGCATGGTATGGGATGTGACTATTTAGAAGGATAGAAGTGTTTTTCTGACCTCAGATCTAGGAATCCAAACCATCCTATGACCCTCTAGGTGTCACCCAGTCACAAAGGACCACTTTTCCTGAGAAAAAGGGACACATTTCTTTTTAAAAAATGAAATGAAATGAAATGAAATTCATAGACCAGATTGCAGTCAGTTTGCCACGATATTGTGCTGAAATGGAACCAAAGGAATGTGTATGCAGACACAAATCAACCTGGAAAAAATGAAGCAGCAGGAAAACAATTTTCACAAGAACAAGTACCAGAAACAATCAGCTCATGTCCTAGCAATGGAAAAAATGTGAATATTTTTAACTGCAAATTACAAGCTTAATCACATATTTTCCCATTGCAATAGCACTGCAACTACCCAATGTCAAATATTTTCAAGATTCACGGCGTATATTTACAAAGGGGTTCTAGCCTCAGCTTGATAAAAAGTGGCCTTTTGATTTAATGTTTTAACTGTTAATGTAGTCCTTGATTCTTGCCTTATTTGCCTGCATCTTTTTTGAGGTAGGACTGTATTGCCACTTGCAGCTGGGTAACTAGGAGGGTGGACCTGCTCAAGATCACCACCAAGAAGAGGGCTGAACCTAAGTCACTAAGGTCCAATATCCTATCAGTGATACTGAAGCTGATTTTTTTAATGGCCTTGGGATCAAAATTGAAGCAAACAATGTATATCACCTAGAATATATGCAATACAGGAAAATTAGCCATGCTAGAATACAATGCATAAAGTGTCTTATTTCACACATATATACATGTTTAATATTTTTTTCTTTGAAATCATAGTAACTCATTACACATCTGATGAACAGTGACCATTATGCCAAAATAGATTCATTAGTCTACCATAGAACTCTTCCTTATTTTAACACACAATCGCCTTTGTGTGTAACTTGTGTGACCTCATGTTTGGAAGCCAGTGTCCAGAAGATGACAAAACTAGGGAAATGCATGAAATCTGTCTTGGGTGGGAATCCACTGTATTCCCTGAGCTCAGCTCCCAGACCCAGGACCACTGTCTGGCTGCTCTGAGTCTGACTTCCTGGTCAGCATTCCCACAGGCACCTGCCAGGAATTGAGTCCACACGAAAGCTGCGCAAGCAGCATTCCTCTTCCATGCATGACTTTCTTTGTGCTGTATAGCTGTAGAAAAGGCTGCTGGTTGTGCAACCGGAGTTGTGCGACCATTCAAAGTTTTCCTCTCTGCTCAGCTCACTTCCAAAGTGAAGGCTGGGAACAAGAAGCCATCTTAACAAGCAAGAGGGCCATATTCTGGGGATGAGTGTTGCAACACTAGTCAAACACATATAAAAGGACAATGATTTCCACAAAATGCAGGATACACAGGGAAGTACACAGAAAAGCCCTGCTGGATCAGAGCAAGAGTCCATCTAGTCTACTATTCACTTCACAAAGAGGCCAGCCAGCAGCTCACAGGAAACTCAGAAGCAGGGCATGAGTGCAACAGCACCTTCTTCGCATGTTCCCCAAAATCCAATACTGCCTCTGACACTGGAGGTAGCATGTAGCCATCAGGACTTCTAGCCACTGATAGTCCTCTCCTCCATGAATTTTTCCAAACCCTTTTAAAGTCCTCCAAATGGTGGCTTTATGAATTTGAACTATGAATTCCATAGTTTAACTGTACACCGTGTGAATACTTCTGAGAAGGAAATGCCTTGTATTTAGCAAGTCATATAAGTACAACTTGTTTTCTAAAATAAGAAGTGCTGGAGGTGAAACCTTTGTAGAAGATATCTGTTTTCTTATGACAAGTAAAATGCTGGTCCCAAAGGTGTCCATGCTGGTTGTGGTGAGAGTACAGCAACTTCTGTTATTTTTCAATATTTTATTTATTGGTATTTCTATACCTCCCACAAGCCCAGAACAGTTCTTTGGGCAGTTCACAGAGTCAAAAAACCAACAGCACAAAATAAAATACCAAAGAACAAAAACAGTAACATTAAAATTGGATATACATAATACAAAAACAACAGCAGGTCTACAACAACCACATCCAAGTTAGTCCAAAAGTACAGCAGGAAAAAATAAATGCAACATAAGCACAGTGTTAACATTGGTTTTAAAATGATTAAAATCATTTAACTATTAAAATGTTTAGTAAATAAAAGGATTTTTGACTGTTGCGAAAAGGAATACAGAATTGGTGCCAGGTGCACTTCTTTGAGAAGCTGATTCCACATTCAGGGTGCCATTCAAGCCGAAAAGGCCCTTCTCCTAGTTGCAACCCTCTTTTTCCCCCATAAGAGGGGGCTTTTGCAGGGGGACCCCAGATGATGACCTCTGAGTCTGGTTAGGCACATATGGAAGAGGCATTCCTATAGATGCCCTGGCCCCAAGCCATTTCGGGCTTTAAATATTAGTGTTAGCACTTTGAATTGGGCATAAATTCAACTAGTAACCAGTGAAGTTGTTGGAGGTCGGGCATGATATGTTCATGTCTGCCAGCCCTGGGCAGCAGCCTGGCTGCCCTATTTTGAACCAACTGAAGTATTCTGAACCAATAGTCCAGAGCTGGGCCCTTCGTTAAGAACAGGCTCCAGGGCTTGGCTTCCTGCTGTTACTTTCTGGCTACCAGTGCATAATGTAACATGTACCTGGATGGGCACTCCATAACTAATAAGGTACCAGTAAAGCAAATGAATTTTCCAAGAGACAATATCTTGCAGCCAATGTTATGGATCTACTATAGTGCAAGATTTAAATGTTTGAAACCATTTGCGTATGCATGATAAAGCCTTAAATTAACTGTCTTCTGTAACAGAAACACAATGTATAACTAGACTTTTTGAACACCACTGATGGCAGATGAATCAGGGTTGCCAAAATGAAGCGTTCTTTATGAACACAGAGCAGATTTCCAGGCTGTGCCTTTGCAGCTTTCTGCTTTCCTTGGTTGTTTGCTTCTTTGGCAAGGAGGCAGATGAGTTGCAGATGAGAGCAGCATTTTTGTTGTCCTACTCAGAAAAAAATGTGCTTGTTACTTTTAAGTCAAGCTCTACTGTCTTCTCCTGTGCACTTCTTTACAAAAGCAAAAGTAATCAACACCAGCAACATTAAAAGGCCTCTGGGAAGTAACAGTTCCAATTTGCTATGTAAACATTTCAGTTTTAGCATTACCTACGAACAATATTGCTGTATTAGAAGGATAATCCTCCCTTTTCAGAAAGAAGTGGTGGGAGACCTATATAGTTCAGAACAAAAAAAAAAAAAAGTAATTTGGGGGAATGTGTTTCCAGAATAAAATTAATAGAGCATAGAAGGCTTTTGATTTTATTTTCCCATTTCCTTCATGTACCACAAGTCTGATATTTAAAAAGACAAATTACATTTAGGGAAATGTTTCCTTGAGGCTGTAATGTTCTGCATAGCCCACTGGGTGCCAATTACTAACTACATAAGTACTAGCTACATATCACATGCAAACATGTGCACAAAACCTTGAGAGCCATTTTTTTAACAGAAAACTATATGAATGGGTGATACATTTGGTATTTTTTCCCTCACCAGTTCTCTCCCATCCCAGAGTTTTTCTTTCAGAAACAAAAAGGACTCTCTAGGTTTCCCCCACCACCACCTTGTGTTTCTGTGTGACACAAAGGCTCTTTCCAGAGATTCCCTTCACTGATGTTTTCAAATGCATGGAGGTTGGAGTGTGGTTATACCTCCTGTCCCAGTCTCATGTGCTGACCAAAGAAGGATGGTTATACCATTTGTGTGCCACAGAAATTGGGACCCCGTTTGCATAACAGTCCCAATTACATGGAGCACCAATGAATGAGCAGTTAGAATCATTGAATAATAGAGTTGGAAGGAGGCAATTTGGCCACCGACTCCAACCCCCTCCTCAGTACAGGACTCCAAGTTTAAAACTTCCTCAACAGATGAATGTCCAGCTGCAAGTTGAATTTCTCCAGTGTGACGACATTCAGCTTCAGCAGAATACATGACTTCTCTGAATAATTGGTGCCATGTCACCCTTCTTCATACAGTGAACTTTACAAAGGATCCAAATCTTGTCATCTTCAGTTTGTAACCTTCCCATGTCATTGTCTCCAATCTTGAGAAAGAGGCTCCGAACACACTCCTAGAGACCATAGGAAAGCTCTTCCAAGCTAAAACAAATGCTTTTATTTTGCATATGATTGGCTCCATTTCTTTAAACTTTGGCTCTACCAAAACTCAATTCAACATGACTCCTGAAATCTCTGAAATGAAATCCAGTCCATGGGTTGAAATAGCTTCTGTACATCTAGACTAAAAGCCAAACAATTTTGTTGGCTGTCCAACAACCTCTCAGATGCCTCCAATATAACAGAACTTCCCTAGGTAACAACAGTGGCTCTGAGAGTTTTGCCAGTTCCTTTAATGCACTTGGATGCAATTCATCAGGCCCTGGAGATTTGAACTCATAAAAAGAAATTAGACAATCGCTAGGCTAGCCAAGCAAACCTACTTCAAATACTTGCCCCATCCTTAGCCTGTATAGAATTATATTAACACTTTCTGAACCACAGAAAAATATGGTGTTTAGACCAAATGCCCAAATTAAAAGCAAACTGGCCATAAAGACTATTTACGTGCCCCAGTTCATGCCTCTCTTTTTTCATCTCCCATCAATGCTGTTAACTTGCCTTCTTCATATCCATCCATGACCATACTATGACCCTCATTAGTGTACACATCTGACTGTTTTATTATTTTTATCCATAATTTCTATTTCACATCATGCAATAATGCTCTCCAGGCAGCTAATTTAAAAGTGATTACTGTACTCTGTGGACTATAAAACCCACCTGTTCTTATTATACAAGTGAAGGTATGCTGGGCTGGCAATTGCTCATAAATAGAATGCTTATAGTGTTCTAATGCTTAATTATATTTTGGGTTTTAATTTGGTGGCTCAAGTAGAACCGACAAACCATTCCTCTCCAGTAAGATAGTTTGGATGCTCTTTTCCTCTTTTTCTCAACAAGGGAGTCTTTCTAGTTTGTCAGCCAAAATTAGGGAATTAGCATGGGGATAGGAAATTTCTAGGCTCTATGTGTGATCAGAGCCTGTTTCAAGCACCCAGAAGTGGTGGCAGCATATTAGTTGCTGAACATTTGCTGTAGCAAAAATGTATTTGGAAAAATTCTTTAACTTGTATGACAAATAGCCTGATTTTTGGTTAGTGTTTTGGGGTTATTGTTGTTGTTGTTGTTCCTTCTTTCTTTCATAGAATCATGGAATAGTAGAGTTGGAAGGGAACGTGAAGGCCATCAGGTCCAACCCCTGCTGTTGCAGGACGCCACGTTACACCACCCACTCAGATGGCTGTCCAGTGTCTTTTTGAATGTCTCTAGTGTGGGAGAGCCCACCACCTCTCTAGGCAGCTGGTTCCACTGTTGTACTGCTAAACTGAAAGGTGAGGACACTGCAGGAAATCAAGCTTTTAGCCTAGTTCGGTTACCAGTGGCTTGCTAATGATTGACAGACATTTTATTTATTTATTTATTTATTTATTTAGAAAATTTCTATGCCGCCCCATTCGCCGAAGCCTCGGGGCGGATTACAAATGAATCAATTAAAATACAATAAATTAACAGATGACAGGATAGAGGGTAAGATAATATTTTCGGGTTTTTTTAGACTAGAAGAAAGAGAGAGGATATACAAACTTGGAATATAAGATTTTAGAGTTAAGGAAGGGATAAAGGCAAAAAACGGACAGTAAGGACTCAAAGATCTTAGTGAGGGATGTTAACAGGCACGAGGCACAGTGAACGGCGGTCGCAAAGACTGAACAAAATGGTGGACATTCCGCTCTATTTATACCACGAAGGGGGAGGGGAGCGGAGTTTTCCCACCAAAAACCGTTAGCTGTCAATCTTCCGGCCAAAGGCACTGCGCAGGCGCAGCACCCATATGTGTGATGCACAGATGGCCACTCAAAGAACATCAGTTACAGGTAAGCAACCTGCCTTTCATCTTGGAATCCTGATGATCACATTAGTACATGGAGAATTTCTGTTTTAGCTGCCCTAAAAAGAAGAAGGGAAATAAGCATTAATATCTGGGAGGAGAGGAGAGGAGGATAGCCTCTCACAGCACAGGCTAACATGGTTGCCTGCAGCCCTCCAAACTCAGACATCCCATGAAGGCTGCATGTTCTTGTCACCTGCAAAGAGCTTAGAAGTGCCCCAGGGTATCATGTGTTGTGATGGTGCCTGTCTCCTCCCCTCCTGGCATCTAATTAACAACAATAAATCACCATACAAGAGAAGTTAAAAGATATGCACAAATGAGAAATCAAACAGTTAAACAACTTTAAAATATCACAATCTGACAAAACAACTAGATTAAAACTTAAATTATGCATTATATCTGATTAAATGACTAGAATCAGAGGGAAGCCTGTCACTAATACTGGCCTCAGGTTGACTTTACTGAGAAGAAAATTCCAAAAGTGGGGAGGGGGTTACTGTCAAAAAGGCCTCTCCCTTGTTGCCTCCTCTTGAACTCTCCTTGCAGAAGGCCTTGGGGATGAGCCTCATAGGTTGCACATCATTCAGATGAATGCTTATACACCTTACTATGCCCACAACCTTCACTGTTGTTCCCTTTAGTAGATACGGTGTCTTCTCAGGTCAAATACAGGTGCCTTGTCATTATGAGGCCCACTGGGTTCCAGGCTGCTATAATACCACATAAGTCAATGGGCATGAACAGTAGAATAGTGTAGAAACACAAACTTTAGCTAGCCTTTAATTGCTGGTGACAAAGACAAACTTCTTCATTCTAGGGGTCAAAAGTGGCACAAAAGCCTGAACCAGAGATATTTCCATTTTAGTTCCAATCCCCGTCCCCCACATTATCTGCCCTTTATCAACCAAATATGCCAGAGCCTCAGATCTTCAGCATAACATGAAAATAGAATCAACTGATCATCCCCTCCCCACAACAAAGGCTTTGGTTTTTAGTTTGGGGGTGTTCCTGGATCCAGCACTGTCACTACAGACACAGATGGACTCAGTGGCACAAACTACCTTTCACCAACTTTGTCCTTATCTAGACAAGGATAGCCTAACTACACTTATCCAAACTCTGGTAGCCTCTCCGTTGAATTACTGCTATGCATTGTATGTGGGGCTTTCTTTGAAAATGGTCAAGAAACTTCAGCTGGTCCAAAACAGGGCAGCTAATGGGGACTAGCCAATGTGTTCAGATTAGACTGGGATTTCACTATCTGTGCTGACTGCTGGTCCATGTCTGGGTCTGATTCAAAGGACTAGTATTACCATTCACAGGCCTTAACAGCTTAGGGCCAGGATACCTGAAGTTAAAGGTAATCTTCTATCATACATACCTGGTCAGACCCTAAGATCATCCCCTCTGAGGGAGCTGCTGCCAAGGGAAGTCAGGTGGGTGGCTGCTAGGGGCCCTTTCCTGTTATGGCACCCTTACTATGGAATGAACTTCCCAAGGAGGTTCTTCTGGCACCTTCATTGTACTCTTTCTGGTACAAGGTGAAAACTTTTATTATTTTCCCAAGAATTTTAGTTTCAGACAGATCTCAATTTGGCATTATATTTTAAATCTTTGCATTGTTGCTTTTTTACTCTAGTTTTCACTTTTCAATATACTGTTATTTTAATCATTTACATATTTATACTATATTATATGTTTTATAATATTTTAAAATGGTGTGAACCACTGAGAGAGCTTTGGCTATTGGGCAGTATAACAATGTATTAAATAAGTCCCATTAAAACGAATTGGTCACAAGTTTGCTGTGAATAACGTAAGTTCTGTCGATTCCACAGAAATATCAGCATGACCTTCTCTGGACTAACAAAGTTGGTTTATAAGACAATGGACATGTATGCTGCCAGCAATCAGTTTGTCCCGTTTCAAGTAAAGCAAGGAGAACAAGGTGTTAACAAATCTGTACTTTGCTTGCTTTGGTCCAATTGCCTCCATTTGTCATACCAGGATTGGTTTCTATTCTGGTGGCAGAATTTGAACAGATATAATTATAAGAGGAAGTTCAGCTTGCTCATGTGAAGAATGACACAACAAAGAAATGAATTAAATTCCTGTAATTGGACTATAGTATGGGTTTCAATGTGTTCATTTGGGGACTAAATACCAGAACTATCAAGATATATTTTCCTACTTACCAAAGCTATCAAGGGATATTTTCTTCTTTAATGCAACCATTGTCTGTCTACCAAACTGCTCCTTGGCATACGGACCTTGTTTATTTATCTATATATTCCCTTGCACCTTGTCAAGACTCCATACATATTCATAGGAATGATCCCCAGCTTCTTCTCTTCTCTTTGTTTGCAGATCTTCCTTGGGACAGGGATCCTATAATCTATATCTCCTGTGGAAGCTTTCCTGCCATTGTCTGCATAATTGAAAAGTCAATAACATACAATTTAGAAAGCCATTTCACTTAATCTGGTAGAGGTTTCTGCTGGCAGATTGTGAATGTCACACTAATGGTGAGAAAGGGATTTGGCATAATTGTGTACTCCAAATCAGGCAACATATTCCAAACTTCCAGGGCCTTCTATGAGGTTTCTTTTTTCCTTTCTTCCTGGTGCTTAAAACATCTCTAGCATACCTTCTGCATTGTACAGTAATGGTAAGCAGTAGCTATAGCTTTTCTGGTACACAGAGGAGCAACATCATGATTAATGGTATTGGCATACCCCTTGCGCTAAAGGAAGTATCTCTATACACAACCAAGATGACTTAAATTACCTCTGGCATTTCATACCTGGAAATGGGGATATAACAAATGAACTGAAAAAGACTTATTACTATTTGCAGAAGCAAAACAAAGCCAGACTGTCAATGTTTTGTTAACCAACAAGACACACTACCCATGGCTTTCAGCAGCAGTAGTAGGTCACATGCATCATGCATTTATTAGACAAGACATGTGGACATGGATGGCTATAAAAAGAAGGGGAAGACTCAGTTCTGACCCCAGACGCTCGACAGCTGGATAAGGATACATCACCCTCTGGAACTCACCAGTGCCCCCTGTAACCCTTCATCACTGCTCAGTTTCCTTCCACAGCTGAACTGCAGCAGTGACATCAACACAAGCAGAAATTCTGTAGGAAATTTACAAACACAACTGCACTCCTGGAAAGATTCTGCGAACATAATTCAGCTTCCAGATTGGGTGTGTCCCCCTTGTGCAATTTGTTTTCTTATGCAATTTGTTTCCTCTTTGTTGCCACTGCAGGCAGGGGAGGTCCAATCCAACCTAGTAAGTCCTGAATTCTGCTCTGCATTTTTGAAGCACTTTAGTCAATTCACAGCATAAGCAAGTTATAACCAATGGTATTCTTTCCAGCTGGAAAAAAAGTCATCAAGCCTACAAGGGTTATCATGAAGATATATGTACAAGAAGCATCAGCCAGGGTGAAGGGAAAGGGGCAGTAGCACTTCTACTGCATCAAGACAGGAATCCATGTGTAACAGGGCCAGAGTAATATAAGCCTGGTGGGTCACGCCATGGACTGTTGTAAACTTAAGTGTCATCCACAGACTTGAGATGCCCTTTGCCGTGATGTGCCTTGCCTCCTTGAAAAGACAAAATAGCTTCATTTTCCTTCCTCATTGGAGTGCTTTCTAGTCCTGTGTGTGCATTATTTAATAAGCATTTGACCACTTCATAATTTCCTGGTCATATCTCTGGTCAGCACTAAGGGAAGCATTAATGCTCATGCAGTCACTGCTTCTTATGCTCAGAAGCTCTGGGTACTTACATTTTATAACCCAATTAATTATTTTAGTTTAGAGCAACTGCAATATTGCCTATGATGTTCACCCAGAAGAAAGGACAAATAAAATCCCCAATTACCCAGGACAGTATAGCCCCTACATCTATATATCTATATAGCCCCCACATTATGAAGCTTTTAATATAAATGTTAGCTTTTCATTAGCTAAGAGCCTATTTGTCCTTAATTAGCTGTTAAAGACCAAGGGCAACATTCTGTTTTGACTTGCACCAGCATTATCTCACTACCAAGGTACCTCCTAGTTCGCAGGAGATCAAGTGAAGAGAGCAGCCCTGTAGCCCCTCCTATAAGCAGGACTGGCAAGGCATGTTCCCATGGCCCTGCCCCTTAAAACACAGTCCTCCTATGGAATGTGGGTCTGACTGCCCTGCAACAAAACAGAATGAAACAGATCGTAACACATGCATCAGGCCTCCCATCATTAGAACCATTTTTTCCCATTCTTGGCAGTGTTGCGGGTGGGAGATGGGAAAGGAAAATTGGCAACAGCGGCTGGGAAGGTAAGAATTTTCCATAATTTTTCCTCTGGGGAAGGGGCAGGAGCTTTCTTTCTGTTGTAAGTGCAGGACAGGGCTGATGGGGGTTTCGGTTTTGTTTTGTAGCACTAAAAATGGCCCATGCAGTTGCACTAGCAGCAGACGTCTCCTATATGGCAGCTCTTCCTGAGAGCACGTGGGCTTACAGGCCCAGCCAAATGCTTTGCTAATCATGCCCAGCACTGCTAAGTGCGACTGGCTTATATAGCACCATCTAAGCATGCACAGGCCTGTTTTAGATTGAGACTATAACAGTTCGGGGAGGCAGCTGAAAGCTTTCTCCCTTCCCATTCCACCAGGCACACTGTTGAGTATGGCAGGACAGGAGTAAAAGAAGGGGGAAAGTATTAGAAGGCCCATTAGAAGAGCAGCCAAGCTGGATGCTTTTGTGCCCCTAGACACTGCAACTGTGCCCAGAGGGATTTTTAAGTTAAAAAACAAAAAGATGTCCTTGCCCTCCTCTTCAAAAGGTAAGTGAAAACCCAGCCCCAGCCCCTCAATGCTGGAAATTCAGGGCTTTTTTCCATCTAAAGATGTATAGGATTATGCCAGGACCAAAGAGTTCCTATACCTAGTGTGTAGTGTGTGTGTGTGAGAGAGAGAGAGAGAAAGAATATGACAGAATAAGAAACTGTTTCTATATACTTCCGTATTTTTTCATATTGGAAGCAATGCTGTAATATCATACAGGAAAAATCCCTTTCTAGAAGAAAAGAGCAATACTGGGGAGAAATTTAGAAAGAATGTGTATATCCCATATACATGTCACTAAACCTGCAACAGCAAAGCTAGGCAATGCCTGTTTTCACAATGATTGTTCATTTTTGCCATCCTGACTACAATAACGATGATGATGAAGAAGATACAAGCATATGCATGTTTCAACTCAAAAGTAATATTATATGAAATGTTCCAGTAACCTGCTCTGCATAATAGTTACCTTCAAAAAAACCCTTTAATATTAGACCCTCTCAAAATGCAAACATAATGAAGCAAGGATAATCAAAGGCACAAGACTGAGAGCAGAATCAACTAAGACAGGCAGATGAGTTTGCCTTAACACTCCTCAATTCTGATTCACACAGTAACAATAATGATAGTAAAATGTATCCACAAAGGGCCTGTCAAACAATTCCAAAGGGGACTTAAGCTATCAGATCTTGTTAAAAGCAGCATTAAACATTCCTCTTTTCCAACAGTGACTTAACAATTAAAGCTACACCGTATGTATGGAATATCAAATATGACACACACAATCTAAGCAACTTGTGTAGCAAAGTATTAACTACTGGAGAGAATTACAACTTTAGTGGTGAGTTAGAATGACTGCCCAAGGAATACTGTCACTATATCAAGGAGAAAAACAAGAACAAAAAAAAAAAAAAAACTTCAGTTTAAGAGATGAGTTAAAGCTTTTATAAATTCATTCATGCTCCAAAAAGCACAGAAATGGATTTTCAAAAACTACACCAAAAGCCGACTGCAGTCAAACTCTTGTAACACATTTACTTCACACAGGTGGGTTTAAAGTTGTTTTTCCCTACTCAACAAAAATGATGGGAAACACTTAAGAGTTTTAATTTCCATAATTCAGACACCTTTCATCCTATTCCCTGAAATTTAGGTAGTGTGCAACCCTCAACCAAGAGAGTTTCTTCAGCATCAGAAGATGCTGATTTTGCAAGCTTATAGAGTTGTTGTGGTTTAAGAGTGCCTTTTGCATTAAACCAGGGTGACCAGAGATGGGTCTCTAGATGTTTGGGAGTTCAACTGACAACATTCCAGACTATTTGCCATGCTGACAGGGGTCTGTGGAAGCTGAAGTCCAAAACATGGAGATCTTTCTCCTGCCCACCTCTGACCTAAATTATAGAGCTGCTCCTGCAGTTTCATGTTGTTTATTCCTGTAAGTTGTTACCTAACTTATAATGCAAGGGTCCCCAACATGGGTGTTCCAAACTTTCTGTGTGGCCCTCCAACCTGCTTGTTTACTGCCATCACCCTCAAGGGATCTCATTTCCCTCAGACGCACACTGTTCTTCCTGCCTCAAGCAGCACTATCTACTGCTGCTTTTCCTTCCCCTTTCTTACAAAAAACATAACAGTTACATGGTATCTTCTGGTCTCCATGTTCCTTCTGTCATCCTCCTCTTGGTCTCATCCTCCATACTAGCATTTTGGCCATTCTGGGAACTTTGCAAGCCTGCAAAGCTCAGGTATCTGCTTTTGCACTCTCCTTCTCTCTTTTATTACCAAGTTTAAGGCTATATATGTGTATAAGGAAGATAAAGCAGCTGTGTGGATGGGTACAGAAGATGTTTGACCTGCTTTTGCAAAACAGGTGGGAAAAGGAGAGCAAAGGCCTGGTATTTTTGCAAAAAAGGATGCAAAGTGTTTTGCATACTGAACATTTCTGCACACTTTACCCATCAAGGCTTCTCCAAGTGGCTTCCAAGGTTACAGGTGAGGTTGCTGCTTCCGCAGAAGCATTCTTTCTTCCTCAACAAGAGCCACTTGCTCTGACTTTCTGCCTTGCTTGCTTCTGCCTCTCCCTCCCCACCCACACCAGCTAACAGTCTTCTCATGCATCTGGGATTGCAGGAGCTGGTCGAGAGGGAAGGAGTACTCTGTTAGCATGGAAGCTTATAGGATTTCCTTCCCCCCGGCTGCCATTTTGCTTCTCATGATTGAGGCTTGGCTGGCAGGCAACAATATTCATGAGCACCCTGCATATTATTTGCAGCCAACTCAATGGCAGATCCTCTACTCCAGGTCGGAGGCTGATCTTTCATTCACTCTCTCTTCCTTCCTTTTTTGGAGGGTCCCCAATTTTTAAGCACTAGCATGTATATTTAAAACTCAAGGCAGTGTGTTTATTAAGAAATACATTTCATGGTATTCAATATACTGAGGACTGCAAATCTCCCGTCTGGTAGGTCAGATTCATAATCCATTTCAAAACAATTCATAGAAGAGCTGGAATGGGCCACGAAGGCCATTGAGTCCAACCCCCTGCTGTTGCAGGACACCACGTTACACCATCCCACTCA